AAAAAAAAAAAAAATATATATATATATATTTCAGAAAGAAGCTGACTGTGGTTTCTTTAGGAGAAAATTACATGTGAACCAAAAGAAGAAGGAATACTAGATATCTTTATTTCAGAATAAATGAAGGGTTACTTCTCTGATTATAGGTCATTCAGATGATATAATTATTAGATGTCCATATGTAATTACAAAACATGCTTGTTTTTATAAGTTGGTTTGAAACAATTTTACTGATCTCAAAGAACTAATTTCCTCCTAATCGAATGGCAAACCTTGCAGTACACCATATTAACTTTTAATATGCTAAAATTACCCATTAACTATCTTTTTCTTTAATTGCATCTACATCATGGCCCTACATTTATTTCAGCGATACGAAAGGAGTGATTTCAACTGATTGCTCTCTCTGCATCACGAGATTTTTCTCTTGCTCTCTCTCCTTCACTAGAAAGTAGGAGGAAGAAGCATTCCTCCCACCCACTTACCTATGAAAAAAGGATTCTCCGAAGCTGCCAGGAATGAACACTATAGTAAAATTACAAGAAAATTTTGTTAAGAAACCTTTTCTCATCTGGAAGGTATTTGATTGAAACCTGAGGTGCTAGATTTCAGACAAAGGTGACTTTGGAGGAGAAAGTTGGTGCCAAACTGGATTAGTTGTTTTTGTGTTATGTAAGGAGGAGGAAAAAAAAAATGAGCTGTTTATTCCTAAGCCATAAATTTAAGATTATCGTATTATACCAAATGACAGAATTTCCAAACCTCAAAACTTAGAGTTATATTTTCATGAACTATTATCTGTAGCCACTCAAAACTAAATATATTTAAATATTAAATAATTTGCTTTGCCGAGTTATATTTAAAATATACAAAGTTATTTTATTCACTGTGTCAGCAGTGAATTCTAGTTGAACTGTGAAAATGGTATTGTTAAACAAAAGATTTTTCTTTTTAAATAGCTTTTTCCTGATTATAAAGAATATATGTGCAGTATAAAAATTACAGTATATACAGTAGAGTAAAAACAAAAAAATATAAATCACCAAAACCCCCATAATCCTATCATGCAGAGGTAACCACCATTAATATTTTGTTGTATTTCTTTATAATGGATGTTTATCCACACACCTCCCAAAATACCCATTATATATAAATGCATATTAATGCTTTATTATAGAAAATTTAAAATATAAAAAAAGTAGGTAGAAAGCATAATGAGTCCCATGTACTCATCAACCCATCAATACCCTCTTTCTCTTCCCTACTCATTTTATTTTAAAGCAAATATCAGAAATTATATCGTCTTTTTTGTTTGTATTTGTCTTTGTTTTTTTAAAGATTTATTTATTTATTTTGGGGGGAGGGGCAGAGAATCTCAAGCAGTCTTCTGGAGGCTGAGTGAGGAGATCATGACCCTGAGCCGAAATCAAGAGTCAGATGCCCAACCCATGAGCCACCTAGGCACCCCTGTTTTTGTTTTTTTTGGGGGGAGGACAGAAAGAAGGAGGGGGAAAGAGAGAATTTTAAGCAGGCTCCATGTCCAGTGCGGAGCCTGCTGTGGGGCTCGATCTCACAACCCTGATATCATGACCTGAGCCAAAATCAAGAGTCCAATGCTTAACTGACTGAG